AAGAGCCCCCCCCCGGTCCCCCCATGTCAAAAAAAGCCCGGTCTAGGTAGGGTTAAGACGGGCAGGGATAAAAATCTTACCGTACACAGTCTGCATGGAGGCGTGGTCAAGATCTTTGCAAGAAGGAAATAAAACAGTCCTGATCTGATGTATGTACCAGTTGTCAATCATTTGTTTAGCAAATAATACTGTTATTGTAGGTTTCTAAGTAGATAAAGGATAGTGATTTCCATGTAGTAAATTTCCATACCTGAATAATATTTGAATATATATAGATATATTTTTAACAGCTTTATTCAGTATACAGGAAATTATACAAACAAATCATATACTGGGTAGCATTCATTATTGTCATGTGATGTTTTAGTTTACATTGGAAGTATTTCATGTCAGGTTTTATATTTTTAATGAAGCAGCTGTATATGACATATTTAGCTATTACGATACATTGCAGTAGAATAGGATCTGTGTGTTAAGTATCTGGTATACAATATATAATTAGCTTCTCAGTTAAGGTTAGGTCCTGCTGTGTTTTGTTTTTCCACCACCTTGTAAAATCTTTCCAGAAATATGTGACATAATGGCAGTGTATTAACAGATGTTAAATAGTGTGTTTTTCATTACAATTGTTACATTTGTCACTTTGTACCATTTTCACTTTTTTAGCCAGTTGTTTGTAGCAAGGTACCGATGAAGACGTCAGGGACTGCTCTTCCCGCAGAAACTATACTACACCAAGACGTTTGTCATACCTAAGGTATTGTATTGTATTTCCACGAAAAGACATTGATGTGGACGATGTCTTACACCATGTAATAAGCCTAGAGTACACGGTAACCGACTTGACGATGAAGTATCACGTAGATAGATCCACCATCTACAGACGCTTAAAAGAACATGACATTAATTTAATGCAGGAGAGATACACAAATCTGTCAGGGTGACATGCAACATATAGTTAGGGCAGCCAAGGACGGTCTAGGTTTCTATCAGATGGGACAAAAAGTTATGCTTGGCTACTTACGGAAAGTTCATATCATATTGTATCATATTGAACACCGGGCAAATAATATGTTGCATTAGATTGCACTTTAAATTTTTATCCGATTCAACATCCATAATCAAGTCTTTGATACGATTTTTAAAAAAAATTGATCCACGTTTATATTCAGTTCTCTAGCCTAGGTGTCGGGCCCAAGCGTGAGGGGTTGCGGTAGGCATGCCGAACAGTAGATCCAATTGGCACAGCCCTGCGCCATCCTCTCTTCAGAATCAAGATAAACAGTCATGCGGCATACACTGTACCGTATGCGCAGTAACTATGGCATGTTTTTCTGTGGTATGTTCATGTATAAATGTTAGGTGAGGGAGGGAAGGGAGGTGAGGGAGGGAAGACAAGAAATTCAGGACTTGTGAGACCGAGAACGGCAGCGGTTAGAAGATACCAACACTTCACAACAAAACGAGGGTGAAACGGCTAGAAAACGCCGAAAGCGGAACCAGACCTCCAAAGTGCCAGAAAAGTGCAGGGTGATCATATTTTTATTTCCATAAAAGTATTCATCCATGGAAAGCAGGAGGTCAAGGGTGCCCACACGGGTATCAGGTAGAAATGCTCTGCTAAAGAGCCTCACTGGCACGGAGATTGTATGAAAGAAGTTTTAACTCCCTCTATATATTAAGGTCATATTTCAAAGCCTGTTTACCTATATCACACTACCAGGCAGAGATCAGGGTGGAGGAGATTCAAGAACTCTGGCGGGTGAGTTTTAAGGAGAAATATATTGGTTGACATACAGCTTTTTTAGCCTGGGTACCATCCTACTTGTATGCCGGGAAGCGAGTATGGGAGCCTCGTTATACAAGTAGGATGGTACCCAGGCTACAGCTTTTTAGGAGGGTCATGTTAAACATTGTTATTCATTTTTATGATACTCAATTTACAGATTTTCAAGAATAATGGATATACCAAAGCATCCGAACCTCCTCCCCACTTTCAAGCGAGCTGCCAGGAACAAGTTCATACCACATACATAGAGGACTGTACTGTACATTTTGACAAACACACGCTATGGATTTGGAATGGAAATCTATCAGTTTGTTTCCTCTTCAGTCTGGTTACCACCAGCTGAGTTCGCGGGTGCCAATGATCTTCTGGCAATACCGCTACCAGGACACGATCTTCAATAGAAACTGAACATCTAAAGAAAGGGAGCTAGCCAAGTGGGACAAACACTGGGACCAACGTTTCAAGACAGCAACAGAACTAACTGCCCCAACATGCTATATCTGCATCTTTTGTGGAATAGAAGAAAGCTGTCCTATAAGATGAAATGACTGCGGGTCAACCGTCACATAGTATACAGATTGTTGTGTACGGTACCATTTAGAAAAGGACAAGCCTCTATAGGTGCAGTGGAGTAAAACCAATCCTCGCCTTGGGTACCTAGTTTTC